CCAGGGTGGTATGGCTATACTCTAGGTTGGTATGGCTATACTCCAGGGTGGTATGGCTGGTTATACACCAGGGTGGTGTGGCTGGTTATACTCCAGGGTGGTATGGCTGGTTATACACAAGGGTGGTATGGCTATACTTCAGGGTGGTATGGCTGGTTATACACCAGGGTGGTATGGCTGGTTATACACCAGGGTGGTGTGGCTGGTTATACTCCAGGGTGGTATGGCTGGTTATACACAAGGGTGGTATGGCTATACTTCAGGGTGGTATGGCTGGTTATACACCAGGGTGGTGTGGCTGGTTATACACCAGGGTGGTATGGGTATACTCCAGGGTAGTATGGCTGGTTATACACTAGGGTAGTATGGCTGGTTATACACAAGGATGGTATGGCTGGTTATACACCAGAGTGGTGTGGCTGGTTATACTCCAGGGTGGTATGGCTGGTTATACTCAAGGGTGGTATGGCTATACTCTAGGTTGGTATGGCTATACTCCAGGGTGGTATGGCTGGTTATACACCAGGGTGGTGTGGCTGGTTATACTCCAGGGTGGTATGGCTGGTTATACACAAGGGTGGTATGGCTATACTTCAGGGTGGTATGGCTGGTTATACACCAGGGTGGTATGGCTGGTTATACACCATGGTGGTATGGCTGGTTATACACCAGGGTGGTATGGCTGGTTATACACCAGGGTAGTATGGCTATACTCTAGGATGATATGGCTATATTTCGATGGACAGAGGTTATCCGGGAGCTTTTACAATTTTTATTATAATGTTAACAAATTAACATAGTTTCGTTTGGACAGATATCTTATGGCAGTTAAATAATTGCTGGAGTTGTAACATATTTGTTTTTTTAATAGTGTTTGGGGATGAAAATTTCTCGTAAGATAAATACATTCATTTTTTGCTTCCGTTGCTTGCTAAGAATTTTAGAACATCAATTATTGCTTTGGAATTAAATACTAAGATATTTATATTCAACCACAAAATCCAAATAATTTTTATTGGAGCATGTGTGGAGCATGGCCCTCTCAGATGCTATGTTTTCGTAGGAAGGCCCATGCAGAGGGCAAACAGATTCTACACGCAACATCCGGTTGCCACTGAATCAGACCCACAGATCGTGATAAGTCATTAACTATTAGGAATTATTATAGATGTTTTCAGTGGTAAAAAACAACGAGTGACGCCTTTACTGGTTATCTTGGGTGGAGCTGCCCCCAGGGGGTCAGGTCACCCAGTTTAATCCGGACTGTCTCACTCTGGGCAGTAATGACGCACATCCGGTTCTCGTCAATTGTGAAGCATCAGTCGGGGCCTTTGATCTCTATCAGTACGTGTCACCCGTCTCCCACGAAGCCAAGACATTCCATGTTGACCCGTCACCCGTCACCCGACACACGGCACACGGCGGTAGGTAACAGTAAAACATGTGTTACTACGTGCGGCAAACACAGTAAAACGTGGCAATACAGCGACACGTACAGCACGTGGCAATACAGTGACACGTACAACACGTGGTAATACAGTGACACGTACAACACTCGGCAATACAGTGACACGTACAACACGCGGTAATACAGTGACACGTACAACACTCGGCAATACAGTGACACGTACAACGCGTGGTAATACAGTGACAAGTACAACACGTGGTAATACAGTGACACGTAAAACACGTGGTAATACAGTGACACGTACAGCACGTGGCAATACAGTGACACGTACAGCACGTGGTAATACAGTGACATGTACAACACTCGGCAATACAGTGACACGTACAACACGTGGTAATACAGTGACACGTACAACACTCGGCAATACAGTGACACGTACAACACGCGGTAATACAGTGACACGTACAGCACGTGGTAATACAGTGACACGTACAACACTCGGCAATACAGTGACACGTACAACACGCGGTAATACAGTGACACGTACAACACTCGGCAATACAGTGACACGTACAACGCGTGGTAATACAGTGACAAGTACAACACGTGGTAATACAGTGACACGTAAAACACGTGGTAATACAGTGACACGTACAGCACGTGGCAATACAGTGACACGTACACCACGTGGTAATACAGTGACACGTAAAGCACGTGGAAATACAGTGACACGTAACGCAAGTGGTAATACAGTGACACGAACAACACGCGGTAATACAGTGACACGTACAACACGTGGTAATACAGTGACACGTACAGCACGTGGCAATACAGTGACACGTTAAGCACGTGGCAATACAGTGACACGTACAGCACGTGGTAATACAGTACCGCGTAACGCATGTGGCAATACAGTGACACGTAAAGCACGTGGCAATACAGTGACACGTAATGCAAGTGGTAAAATATTGACACGTAAAGTACGTGGTAACACAGTGACACGTAAAGCACGTGGCAATACAGTGACACGTAACGCAAGTGGTAAAATATTGACACGTAAAGCACGTGGTAACACAGTGACACGTAAAGCACGTGGTAATACAGTGACACGTAATGCAAGTGGTAAAATATTGACACGTAAAGCACGCGGTTACACAGTGACACGTAAAGCACGTGGCAATACAGTGACACGTAACGCAAGTGGTAATAAAGTAACACGTAAAGCACGTGGTAAAATATTGACACGTAAAGCACGTGGTAATTTGAAATTGAAGACAAATAGCTATTTTGCTTGGATAGATTGAGTTTTACTTAGAAAACAATACACCAGCATGAGTGTGTCACCATTGCTGTCTCGGGACTGTACGCCCCACTGCAGCACTTGACGCCCTTGATATACAGAGCTAACGGAGCGCAGACAATTTAAGTCATTTCAAGGGCTTGTCTCTACGTCATAGCCCTATGTAAGTATAACCTAAAGGATCTGTGAAAAGGTATCCCTAAAATAGCTTTCCAAACCCTCAGAAAGTTTCCTATCATGTTACGCGTTGTCGCAACACGCAAACATACGTCGTCTAGGATGTGCATGCACTAGGGGTGGACGGAACTTGGTGCCGTCTTCTGTCATCTCGCCCCTTTCTGACGTGGTACGGGATAAAGATCCTGGTGCAGTTATTTACTTCATGAAGTCATGAATATTGGTTGACGATTAATATACACTTTTATCCTTTTTGTGGACGTAAATACATTAATCTGTGTGATCAAAGTAATTATCTTGAAGTTCTATACAAACTTACATGACATGATATGGAGTGATTATTAAACCTCATCTTGGATAATCTAAAATATACGCGTCACTGGATTTGTACTGAATAACCAGTAAACGATTATGAGAAACACGCACAAACTATTTTAGATTGTTTCTTTAAATCATTAACTGTTTTATTTCCAAAGTTGAACGAAATTATACGTTCTACTTATAGGTATTGACATCTGCAATACCCCAGTTGTTAAATATAACGATGACTGGAGGCATATCATGTAACTGGTATTATAAATAAAAATGTCTCCCCGACATGAGGTTACTTCATTCAGGAAATAGAGAGGAATATCGCCAGGACAGAGACTGTCCTGATAACTATTTTGGTGCTGATGTGATTTTGATATATTAAAAAATAACCGTATCGTGGGTGCCAACATGATCCATTTCATGATACATTGGTACCCACACGATGTATACCATGATATATTAGTACCCACACGATGTATACCATGATATACCGGTACCCACACGATGTATACCATGATATAATCGTACCCACACGATTTATACCATGATATATTGGTACCCACACGATGTGTACCGTGATATATTAGTACCCACACGATGTATACCATGATATATTGGTACCCACACGATGTATACCATGTTAATTGGTACCCACACGATGTATACCATGATGTATTGGTACCCACACGATGTATACCATGATATATTGGTACCCACACGATGTATACCATGTTAATTGGTACCCACACGATGTATACCATGATGTATTGGTACCCACACGATGTATACCATGATATATTGGTACCCGTACGATGTATACCATGATATATTGGTACCCACACGATGTATACCATGATATATTGATACCCGTACGATGTATACCATGATATATTGGTACCCACACGATGTATACCATGATATATTGGTACCCGTACGATGTATACCATGATATACTGGTACCCACACGATGTATACCATGATATATTGGTACCCACACGATGTATACCATGATGTATTGGTACCCACACGATGTATACCATGATATATTGGTACCCGTACGATGTATACCATGATATATTGGTACCCGTACGATGTATACCATGATATATTGGTACCCACACGATGTATACCATGATATATTGGTACCCACACGATGTATACCATGATATATTGATACCCACACGATGTATACCATGATATATTGGTACCCACACGATGTATACCATGATATATTGGTACCCACACGATGTATACCATGATATATTGGTACCCGTAAGAATTATATCCTGATATATTGTGCCTGTACGACATGCACCATGATATATTGATGCCCGTACGATATGTATCAAGATATATCAGTGTCCCTAAAATAAATACCCCGAGATATTGGTTCCCGTACGATATAAAATGTTTCGTTCAATTCAAGAGGGCCATGGGTATTTCTGTAAATTGTTTTACAATGTTGCACAATGAATCATAACATTATACTTTAACTTTCACATTATAAAATAATTGCAGAAATGTGTCTGCAGTTACAACGTATTCCTAGACAACTCTATTGCGACATGTACGACAGTTTGGAAACACAACCCTATAAGATGAGTGTTGCAATGTTGATGAACTGTGCGCGCCCAATTAACGTTTTCCAGTCACGAGATACAGCTCCGCGCGCGAATGATAACTCGTCCGTAAAGAACATCTATATTTGGAATGCTGTTGTGGAAGGGGATTTTGTAATACAGTAGTTATATAAGAGCGCGGCCTGGATAGACTAGGACAGTTCGCATTTGTTGATCACCAATATGTATCAGACATCGAAATACGGCGATTCTTCCATGATGTTGCTGCGTTTGGTTTTCATGCAAGTCCTTGTCTACAAAACTCTTGTGTCAGCGTTACCTGTGGCCACACACTGGGACGACGTGATTAGACAACGTCGTCACGCCGCCAACTGTCAACCACCTCAAGATATCAACCAATTCTTCCAAAGTCTCAACAAGAACGCCGACACGTCGCTCTACTTCCGCCATGTCCGAGAAGGCATAAGGCCGTACCTCCACACAGAACTGAACACGGACCAGGTATTCGACAGCGAGAACTACTACAGAGGTACCACCTGTCCCAGCAGCGTCAGTGACGACCCACAGGACCCTCTGTGGATGAGGTCCCTCTGTCCCTGGTACTACAACGTCACCCGTCTTACCGCCGGTCACTACCCAAGTGCCATCCCCCAGGCCGTGTGTAAGTGTGACAAATGCGTTGACAATAACCAAAAGCAGTGCGAGAGAGTTTCCACTCAAATCCGAGTTTTAGAAGAAATTGGCTGTGAAAATGGATTTTACAAATACAAACCTAAAACTATCGCTCAGTATGTTGGATGCACGTGCGCTAACCGTCGCATAGCGACGTTAAATCTTAGTCAGTCTAGTTCAAGCGGCATTTCCCGTACCCTGATGTGTGGCGACTATCCATGCACACAGTAAATATATAGGCAAACCCATTCCACGTGACTATGTTATTAGCATACATGTAAACGTTCCAACCATGATACTCATTCAAGTGTTTGGAAACATCGATTAAGTCAGTTATTGACTGGTATTTATTTGTACAGCGTCGTCTAAAGGTTTACGTTGACAATGGACAAATGTTGCAGACCTTGTGTTCGTCGTCGACTGAGTACTTCACTTTTGTGTTCCATAGCCTTCTATGGAGTTGGATGTGATAATGTTATCCCCTGTAGGCATTATACGTTTTGTATTTTACTCTGAAGGACATGTTTGTCGGTCGTGTCGTGCAATTCCCACATCTATCGTGCCGCATTGAATTAACTCAGGATCCGTGAAGATCCGGGGTAGAATAGGTCTTCAGCAACCCATGCTTGCCGTGAAAGGCGACTATGCTTGTCGTAAGAGGCGACTAAGGGGATCGGGTGGTCAGGCTCGCTGACTTGGTTGATGCAGGTTAAGCCACAACAAACAAAACAAAACGAATTACTTCAGAGAGTAGGCACCTTTTGCCCGCCGTGAGTGAGTTTCAATGTATTCCCGCCATATGGGAAGTGACATGACAGTCACGCTGCGCATGTTTCATTTATCGTACTCATTTAATTTATTTGAAATATTGGACCGATGATATTTGACACATTACGTTATTTAATATTTGTGTGTCTTTCTACATGTTTATTAAGTTATTATTCCAATGTGATTCTAGAGCGATATGTCTATTATTTTAATGTATATAATGTCTATTACCTATATATCGAACTCCATGACCATATATCTTTTGACAAGAGATAATGTTTATAACATGTAATACTGCGTGTAATACACTGAGGCCGTTTTGTCATGTTCTTAAAAACCGCAGTTTTCCTGTTCTGTTCATGCATTGAGTGCATTGAGTGCATTTTGTACTTTCGTACAAATGCCCAGTTGGATGTTGAACGAATAAAAACTTTGAGAAGTGAAATGTTTTTCTTCCAAAACTGAAGTGTCTGATCTACGTGTTTGGAATGAGCGAGTGAGTGAGTGAGTATTTGTGTGTGTGTGTGTGCGCGCGCGTTTGGAATGAATGAGTGATGAGTGAGGGAGTGAGTTAATTTGGTTAAACGCCGCTTTTAACAGTATTTCAATTATATCACGGTGTGTCAGCTTGATGTGGGAGGAAAACCCGGAGTCATACACTCGACGAAGTCACTGCAAATCGCCGTGCAGAGTTGCGTCCCTTAGGCGTACCAGAATCTTACGCTTACGATATCCAATCGCCCCCCCCCCCCCCCCCCCCCCCCCCACACCCCGATTGTTTCCATGTTTGTCAGCACGATAAAGCACTCGTGGGTGTCGCCAAAAATGCCAAAGGTGTTAGGCCTGAATCACTTCCACCCCCACCCCCACCCCCCCACCTCACACGCCGTGATTTAACTGATACTTTTCACAGCCGCGTCGTGGACAGCAACTCTCCCAGGCGTCCACTCCTCGCCCACAAGCAGCTATTGGTACGATGGTAATTGTGCTGTATAATTTTTTGACTTGTCTAAATACGCGTCTATTTTTATCGTTACTTCCGCTTGTACTAATCTATTAATACAACATGCTAGATCAATGACGGGGCAGGGAAATACCCCATTCAAGCAGGACACGTATACCACAGTGAAGTGAGGACCGACCACACGATGTGACGCTTCTCTCTCATTGTGACGTCAAGCCTGAAATTTGAGCTCCTCTTCGCCAAGTTCCCTTGTTGTGCATGACCGATGTGTTCCAATCACAAAACCCGAGCCTGCTCGTGCGGTCGGGATCGTGCTTCACGCTTCTCTGATCCAACTTCCGCATTCCTCTGGTCACGTGACATTAATTGCTCTCGCTGTGAGGCGCAGCGTTGGCCGTAGTTCATTCACTCGACTCTCTCAGATGTCTGCCGCGTCAGCGCTGTGTCGGTTCACTACTACTACTACTACTACTAGTAGTTCATGGTGACAATCATGGAATTGTCTGGGCCATAGAGACCGCCGTCATATAGATTAAATACTACAGACAAACAAACCACTACTACTACTACCACCACCACTACTGGGTTGGTGGGGTAGCCTGCTGGGTAAAGCGTTCGCTCATTACGCCGAAGACCCGGGTTCGATTCCCCACATGGGTGCAATGTGTGAAGCCAATTTCTTTGGTTAATAAAGTGATATTCAACATTTTTACTAAGTTCTTCGTTCATTTTACTAGGACACCAGACTAAATACTCTTCTTGGTAATTGGAAAGAAACATTCCACCCATTCATTACCTATAATACTTGTGGTAAGAGGCGACTAACGGGATCGGGTGGTCAGGCTCGCTGACTTGGTTGATGCATGTCATCATCCCAATTGCGTGGACTGATGATGTCAAATCACTGGATTGTCTGGTCCAGACTTGATTATTTAGAGACCACCACCATATAGATTGAATACTATAGACAAACAAACTACTACTACTAATACCACTACCACTGCTAGGTTGGTGGGGTAGCCTGCTGGGTAAAGCGTTCGCTCATTACGCCGAAGACCCGGGTTCGATTCCCAACATGGGTGCAATGTGTGAAGCCCTTTTCTGGTGTCCCCCGCCGTCACAGTCCGGGAAAACTGCTAAAAGCGGCGTAAATCATACTCATTCACTCCCTACTATTATCGGAATTGCTTGTACTACTCCGATGAATGCCACAACTACTAACAATCAATCCACCAATCAGTTTTATTTCGTATAAGCACTGGGTCTACATCTGCATGCCATCACAATCTTACATCACGCCCAAACATGCCACGACTGACGGAAGCCCAACGCAACAAAGCCTTCGGCCGCCTGCAAACAGTAATATGGCCACAACTGCGAAGGAGACAAGTTTGGTTTAGTGACGAGTTATGTTTTACGCTTCGCCTTGCGGATGGTAGACGTCGTGTTTACGGGCGTCGCGGGGAACGTTATGCACGAGACTGCATACAGGAAGTGGACAGATTTGGTGGTGGTAGCGTGATGATGAGGGCAGCCATCTCATACACTGGTGAGTGAGTGAGTGAGTGAGTATGGTTTTACGCCGCTTTTAGCAATATTCCAGCAATATCACGGCGGGGGACACAAGAAATGGGCTTCACACATTGTACCCATGTCGGGAATCGAACCCGGGTCTTCGGCGTGACGAGCGAACGCTTTAACCACAAGGCTACCCGACCACCCCTCCTACACTGGTGGACACAGACTTGGTGTAAGGTCTGGAGAATTTAACGGCACAACGGATGAGATCCTTCGGCCACACGTCCTTAGCAAAGGTCATTTTCCAACAAAACAACGCCCGGCCTCATACGTGAAGACTGACAACAGTCGTTTGTAGGAATCACAACATCCTGGTGCTGCTGTGGCCCTCCAGGTCTCCAGATTCAAACCCAATCTAACATTTATTTGTTTTTTTCTGGATAAGGATGCCCAAGGGAATTCCAGAACGTTGATAGTAAAGAAACTTCTGAATTAATTTTCATCAGGCATGAATGAATGTGATGTGCAGTCTATCTTCTCTGAAATGCCTTTGAAGTTGTTCTTCTGTCGATATGTATTCCTATATCAAGTAATGCTTTTGTATTGAGCCTCAGTGGCGGCGGGGTGGCCTAGTGGCTAAAGCGTTCGTTCGTCACGCCGAAATCTGGAGACCTGGAGGGCCATGGCAGCACCAGGATGTTGTGATTCCGACAAAAGCTACAACAGCTGCCACGTGGTGTCCTTCATCAGCATGACAACGCTCGACCCCATAGAGCCAACATCGTCAACGTGATGCCTCCCAAGACATTCCCCCCATAGAACACCGCTGGGATGTCATGGATCACCGTGTTCGACAGCGACCACATCCTCCAGCCAACCGACAAGAACTGGTCCAGGACCTCCAAGAGGAATGGCGACGTATCCCATTAGACAGCATCAGACGACAGACGTTTTCTGTGCGCCGGATTGTCTTTGCGTGTTTTGTTGAAGGCAGTTGTCACACATGCTATTAATGTGACGTGTCATTGAACTTGAGCGAGTTTTAGATGTGTGCACCCTTTGTCCATTACGTTGAAAGCTGGTGTTTGCTACCCCACCTCAGTTCCGGCAACTGTCACGCCGATATCGGATTCTTTTGGCCGCTAGTTTATGACCACGGATATTACTCGATAACATGAAATACCAAAGATATCTCTTAACTGAATGAAAGAAATAAGAAAATCAACAATATTATAACAAAATCCTCCTTTACATTTGGACATATAGTTTTGTATAATACTTTTCAATGTAGAAACGTTGTTGATGGTGGAATACTTGCAACTAGCAACTGCTGAATGTATGTCACACCCCACGTGACCGCGTGTGAGCTGCACTGCACAAGCAGGATACGGGAAGAATATTCGCCACGTTCAACGTACGACCCTGAAGTCCACCTTGATGGGCCGCTTCAAGCACTATGATGTAATGTTTGGTCAGTATTTGCAAACGACTTTCATCGGTATAGATATGACACTCTCAGGCACAATATAGTAATAACATGTCCGTTATTCAGATATGGCCTGATAAGACTCGTACGTGGTACGAGTTGAAAGCGTTAGCCAATTAAAACTGTGTTTAATCTTGCTCCACTTATTTAATTATTAATATACTTGCATTATAGATAGATAGATAGATAGATAGATAGATAGATAGATAGATAGATAGATAGATAGATAGATAGATAAATAGATATTATATACATATATACCATGTGATATTTTCAATCACTAACATTGATGTCAAGGTTTATGTAATAGCAGTCGTTTGCCAGTTTGTAAACTTCTAGCTACAGGTAACTTTAGCCACTGGACAGTAAAACACGAAGCCCATCCCAGGACTCTCCGCGACTGACGTTGCATAACTTAATCTGATTTGTGACCTGATTTGTGATCCAATAATACCACTTGTCAATCATATTACTCATATTTGTTCATACATCTGTGGACTAATTGACAAATATCACATTTCAACAGTTTATCTCCATAATGAATTTAACATGGTGTGACTTTGAAATTCTGTAAGGGACACTTTCTTGCCATTTTAAAAAAAGCTAAATATTTAAAAAGTGCGAAAATGTGAGACAGGATTTCTCCTCCTTGCAGGGTCTGACCCTGGAGAAATTATGTACTGAATTTTAACAATATATCTTTTTGAGAAGTGGAGTTTGTGAGTGAGTACAACGCGCATCAAGCAGTATTTCAGTTATATCACGGCGTGTCAGCTTGGTTCTGGAGGAGAGCCCAAAGTGATGCAGGTCTTAGACGTTTACAACTTTGGTGAAACCCACGAGCACGGGTATGGTGCTGACAAACCTGGAAACATAAATGGGGAGAACCGGGATTCGAACCCACGATCATAGGTTTCTTGCGTGCCCGGGGGACGCAACTCTGCACAGCGACTTTGGCGCCTTGGGTGAAGTGGAATTACATGCGTTTTGAACATTTTCTCTCTAGTCACTTTAAATTTGAATCTGCCTTTCATACTTAATGAAGGTTTATTACTAGTTTTGAATTCTTAGCTTCTAAGGAAGTAATTTAAAAAAACCAACACTTCAACAAAATAATTGTGACAAGCGCTGAAGTTGGAGGTCGATCATTAGGCTTTGAACACACATGAATGTGCGTTTTAATTAGTAGCAGCCAATACAATTAGCATAGTAGTCAAAGAACTGGAACTTAAAGACGGGGTTCGAAGTCTATGGTTAGTGTCCGTTATTGTGTTGGAATATTGCTATAAGAGGTGTAACAACAAACTCATTCATTTAATTAGAGACAATGCAATCAAATGTTTTAGCCTGATGTGAGTGAGTGAGTGTGTGAGTGAGTAAGTGAGTGAGTGAGTTGTGTTTGACGCCGCTGTGATAGCCATGTGAAACACAAACTAACAAATGTCCCTCTGGACGTCATGTACTGTTATTTGAGTAATGTTGAACTCGTGTTTAGTGGGCCTAACTAGGTTAGTTACCGGACATAACAAGTCTTTTGTGTGGGTTACTTGAAACCTCCTGCAATCACTTATCACACTTCACCTTCGTACAGAAAGACTGTAGCTCATCTTACAACACGATATGTATCTCACATGGGAGCCATTATTGGCAATTACATCGTTTTCATTACATGATTTAAAAGTGACAACAAACTTCAATAACACTAACGAGTATTACTGTTTTAGCAGAGACATTGGTGGTAAATTAATCCCAGTCGCTTCGAATGAACATTCAAGGGATGGAATGATCAAATAACAAGCAGCATCACACATGGATGTACCACGTGGCTTGGGTCTGATGGTATATAATGAGTGATGACAGGCTCTCAACATGCCCGTTCTGCTCACCGCTAAGACGTCACAAAGGACTTTGCTGAATATGTTGTGGAGTATGTGGCAAGCGTACGTGTGTGTATGGCTGTGTGTCGTCGTGACGACGTATTCTGTGTCAGTGATAGACTTTGAGGACTCAGTGATGGATGTTGGTAACAGAAGGACGGAAATTGATTCAGTGATGGACTTTGTGAAAGCGATGACGCGAAGGGATTCGATGATCGACGTTGGTAACGCGATGATGGGAAAGAATTCAGTTATGGACGGTGGTAACGCAATGACGGGAAGGGATTCATTGATGGACTTTGGTGACGCAATGACGCGAAGGAATTCACTGATGGACTTTGGTAGTGCGAGCACAGGAGAGGATTCATTGATCGACGTTAGTAACGCAATGACGCGAAGAGATTCATTGATGGACTTTAGTAGTGCGAGCACAGGAGAGGATTCATTGATCGACGTTGGTAACGAAATGACGCGAAGGGATTCAGTGATGGGCGTTGGTAACGCACTGACGAGAAGGGATTCAATGGTGGGCGTTGGTAATGCGAGGACGGGAAAGGATTCAGTAATGAACGCTGGAAGTACGAATGCGCGGAGGGATACAACATGGTGTGAGCCGTCACTCGACATACAACTCATCTATCGCGGCATGAACAGACTGACGCGTGGTTTCAATGATTACGGAATGCGTACTTGTCCAAGTAGTCTCGGCGATGTCAGTAACAACCCTCGCGACCCCATCTGGCAACGTTCCATCTGCCCCTGGTACTACACCGTCAGGCTCCTGGGAGACCAGTACTACCCACGACAGGTGTCAGAGGCTGTGTGTGCGTGCAGAGACTGTGTTGGGAACGACCTGAACCAGTGCGAGCCTGTCCAATCTACCATAGGTGTTTTAAGAACTCATTGCGAGAACGGAGTGTTGCAGTATGAACCCGTTAACATAGAAATAACAGTTGGGTGTACGTGTACGAAGCCTCGCACCGGTTGACGAAGGTTCACACTGAGGCAAGCAGAGGAGAAGATTTTGTGACACTGACGTTACGTAAGGTCTTGTAAGACATCTTTAGACATAGTAAGGCGTTGTAAGGAAATGTCGTTGAAATGCATGTTAGGGCATTACTATTACAGTTGAAAGCAGAGTAAGGCACGCCGACATAACGTCCTGTGTTGTAATGATGTGTAAGCACTGTGGCATCGTCTTAGGCTTTTACAAAGCACGACGACGTCGACAAAGATATTGCAACGTTGTTCAAGTCATTGTGGAACATTGTGGCGTTGTGCAAGTCATTATGACACATTGTGGCGTTGTGCAAGTCATTATGACACATTGTGGCGTTGTGCAAGTCATTATGACACATTGTGGCGTTGTGCAAGTCATTATGACCCCTTTTGGCGTTGTGCAAGTCATTAGACACATTGTGGCGTTGTGCAAGTCATTGTGACACATTGTGGCGTTGTGCAAGTCATTATGACACATTGTGGCGTTGTACAAGTCATTATGACACATTGTGGCGTTGTGCAAGTCATTGTGACACATTGTGGCGTTGTGCAAGGCGCTGTGATACTAACACGTATGTCTTCATAGTGACGCTGCGTAAGACGTCTTCACTATATTCTTTACAAGTTTCTTTCTTACTATTTATGGTAATTTATAGTAGTTTCTTTACGTTTTTTGTCGTCTCCAAGGCTGTACTGAAATAAACGTCCACGGATGTGGAAGTCCAGATGTGTGGACAGTATCTAAGGACGTCAGTCTCTTATAGGGACAACTTGTTCTTATCATATATATAATCTAGATAGTATGATGTAAACTTATAATTATTGCCTTATAGACTTGAGCAAGTCTACGGTAAAGTTTAAACTGCACGTCTCACTACCGATTACTTGTCCGGGGTGTCACTAACCTAGAGATTCCATCATGTCATGGCAATAAAACATTCATTGGACCATTGTTTTGTCACTATGTGATCGTTCTGCATTGTTTTGTCACTATGTGATTAACCACTAGGCTATCCGACCGCCCCCATGGCTGAAATGCATAACTATGGCTTTGAAGGCATTGAACATCCCCCGTATTCACTAGACTGGCACCGTAAGATTTCCTCCTTTTCAAAACATGAATAAATATTTGTCTGGCAAAAAGATGTTAAATGATGACAAACAGAAATATTCCTGTGTCGTCATGTGTGTATGAAACGGCCTTTAGCCTGAGGTCATGTGTGTATGAAACGGCCTTTAGCCTGAGGTCATGTGTGTATGGAACGGCCTTTAGCCTGAGGACATGTATGTATGAAACGGCCTTTAGCCTGAGGTAATGTGTGTTTGAAACGGCCTTTAGCCTGAGGTCATGTGTGTATGAGACGGCCTTTGGCCTGAGGTCATGTGTGTATGAAACGGCCTTTAGCTTGAGGTCATGTGTGTATGAAACGGCCTTTAGCCTGAGGTCATGTGTGTATGAAACGGCCTTTAGCCTGAGGTCATGTGTGTATGAAACGGCCTTTAGCCTGAGGTCATGTGTGTATGGACCGGCCTTTAGCCACAGGTCATGTGTGTATGAAACGACCATTAGCCTGAGGTCATGTGTGTATGAAAAGTCCTTTAGCCTAAGGTCATGTGTGTTTAAAACGGCCTTTAGCCTGAGGTCATGTGTGTATGAAACGGCCTTTAGCCTGAGGTCATGTGTGTATGAGACGGCCTTTGGCCTGAGGTCATGTCTGTATGAAACGGCCTTTAGCTTGAGGTCATGTGTGTATGAAACGGCCTTTAGCCTGTCATGTGTGTATGAAACGGCCTTGAGCCAGAGGTCATGTGTGTATGAACCGGCCTTTAGCCAAAGGTCATGTGTGTATGAAACGGCCTTTAGCCAGAGGTCATGTGTGTATGAAACGACAATTAGCCTGAGGTCATGTGTGTATGAAAAGTCCTTTAGCCTAAGGTCATGTATGTTTAAAACGGCCTTGAGCCTGAGGTCATTTGTGTATGAAACGGCCTTTAGCCTGAGGTCATGTGTGTATGAACCGGCCTTTAGCCAGAGGTCATGTGTGTATGAAACGACCATTAGCCTGAGGTCATGTGTGTATGAAAAGTCCTTTAGCCTAAGGTCATGTATGTTTAAAACGGCCTTTAGCCTGAGGTCATTTGTGTATGAAACGGCCTTTAGCCTGAGGTCATGTGTGTATGAACCGGCCTTTAGCCAGAGGTCATGTGTGTATGAAACGACCATTAGCCTGAGGTCATGTGTGTATGAAAAGTCCTTTAGCCAGAGGTCATGTGTGTTTAAAACGGCCTTTAGCCTGAGGTCATGTGTGTATGAAACGGCCTTTAGCCTGAGGTCATGTGTGTATGAAACGGCCTTTAGCCTGAGGTCATGTGTGTATGAAACGGCCTTTACCCTGAGGTCATGTGTGTATGAAACGGCCTTTACCCTGAGGTCATGTGTGTATGAAACGGCCTTTAGCCTGAGGTCATGTGTGTATGAAACGGCCTTTACCCTGAGGTCATGTGTGTATGAAACGGCCTTTAGCCAGAGGTCATGTGTGTATAAAACGGCCTTTAGCCTGAGGTCATGTGTGTATGAAACGGCCTTTAGCCTGAGGTCATGTGTGTATGAAACGGCCTTTAGCCTGAGGTCATGTGTGTATGAAACGGCCTTTAGCCTGAGGTCATGTGTGTATGAACCGGCCTTTAGCCTGAGGTCATGTGTGTATGAAACGGCCTTTAGCCTGAGGTCATGTGTGTATGAAACGGCCTTTAGCCTGAGGTCATGTGTGTATGAACCGGCCTTTAGCCTGAGGTCATGTGTGTATGAAACGGCCTTTAGCCTGAGGTCATGTGTGTATGAAACGGCCTTTAGCCTGAGGTCATGTGTGTATGAACCGGCCTTTACCCTGAGGTCATGTGTGTATGAACCGGCCTTTAGCCTGAGGTCATATGTGTATGAACCGGCCTTTAGCCTTAGGTCATGTGTGTATGAACCGGCCTTTAGCCTGAGGTCATGTGTGTATGAACCGGCCTTTAGCCTAAGGTCATGTGTGTATGAAACGGCCTTTAGCCAGAGGTCATGTGTGTATGAACTGGCCTTTAGCCTGAGGTCATGTGTGTATGAACCGGCCTTTAGCCTGAGGTCATGTGTGTATGAAACGGTCTTTAGCCTGAGGTCATGTGTGTATGAACCGGCCTTTAGCCTGAGGTCATGTGTGTATGAACCGGCCTTTACCCTAAGGTCGTGTGTGTATGAAACGACCATTAGCCTAAGGTCATGTGTGTATGAAACGGCCTTTAGCCTGAGGTCATGTGTGTATGAAACGGCCTTTAGCCTGAGGTCATGTGTGTATGAAACGGCCTTTAGCCTAAGGTCATGTGTGTATGAAACGACCATTAGCCAGAGGTCATGTGTGTATGAAACGGCCTTTAGCCTGAGGTCATGTGTGTATGAAACGGCCTTTAGCCAGAGGTCATGTGTGTATGAAACGGCCTTTAGCCAGAGGTCATGTGTGTATGAAACGGCCTTTAGCCTGAGGTCATGTGTGTATGAAACGGCCTTTAGCCTGAGGTCATGTGTGTATGAAACGGCCTTTAGCCTGAGGTCATGCGTGTATGAAACGGCCTTTACCCTGAGGTCATGTGTGTATGAAACGGCCTTTAGCCTGAGGTCATGTGTGTATGAAACGGCCTTTAGCCTGAGGTCATGTGTGTATGAATCGGCCTTTAGCCTGAGGTCATGTGTGTATGAAACGGCCTTTAGCCTGAGGTCATGTGTGTATGAAACGGCCTTTAGCCTGAGGTCATGTGTGTATGAAACGGCCTTTAGCCTGAGGTCATGTGTGTATGAAACGGCCTTTAGCCTAAGGTCATGTGTGTATGAAACGGCCTTTAGCCAAAGGTCATGTGTGTATGAAACGGCCTTTACCCTGAGGTCATGTGTGTATGAAAAGGACTTTAGCCTGAGGTATTGCCCAACACCATTCCCGGCGTGGGACACCAGAAATGGGCTTCACACTGACAATGGCAGTACACAATAGATTTGAACAGTACAATATTCAATGACAGTATATAACATGATGGCAGTACACAAGAAGGTGGTAGTACAATATTCAATGACAGTATATAACATGATGGCAGTACACAAGAAGGTGGTAGTACAATATTCAATGACAGTATATAATATGATGGCAGTACACAAGAAGGTGGTAGTACAATATTCAATGACAGTATATAACATGATGGCAGTACACAAGAAGGTGGTAGTACAATATTCAACGACAGTATATCATATGATGGCAGTACACAAGAAGGTGGTAGTACAATATTCAATGACAGTATATAATATGATGGCAGTACACAAGAAGGTGGTAGTACAAGATTCAATGACAGTATATCATATGATGGCAGTACACAAGAAGGTGGTAGTACAATATTCAATGACAGTATATAATATGATGGCAGTACACAAGAAGGTGGTAGTACAATATTCAATGACAGTATATCATATGATGGCAGTACACAAGAAGGTGGTAGTACAATATTCAATGACAGTATATAATATGATGGCAGTACACAAGAAGGTGGTAGTACAATATTCAATGACAGTATATCATATGATGGCAGTACACAAGAAGGTGGTAGTACAATATTCAATGACAGTATATAATATGATGGCAGTACACAAGAAGGTGGTAGTACAATATTCAATGACAGTATATCATATGATGGCAGTACACAAGAAGGTGGTAGTACAATATTCAATGACAGTATATAATATGATGGCAGTACACAAGAAGGTGGTAGTACAATATTCAATGACAGTATATCATATGATGGCAGTACACAAGAAGGTGGTAGTACAATATTCAATGACAGTATATAATATGATGGCAGTACACAAGAAGGTGGTAGTACAATATTCAATGACAGTATATAATATGATGGCAGTACACAAGAAGGTGGTAGTACAATATTCAACGACAGTATATCATATGATGGCAGTACACAAGAAGGTGGTAGTACAATATTCAATGACAGTATATAATATGATGGCAGTACACAAGAAGGTGGTAGTACAATATTCAATGACAGTATATCATATGATGGCAGTACACAAGAAGGTGGTAGTACAATATTCAATGACAGTATATCATATGATGGCAGTACACAAGAAGGTGGTAGTACAATATTCAATGACAGTATATCATATGATGGCAGTACACAAGAAGGTGGTAGTACAATATTCAATGACAGTATATAATATGATGGCAGTACACAAGAAGGTGGTAGTACAATATTCAATGACAGTATATAATATGATGGCAGTACACAAGAAGGTGGTAGTACAATATTCAACGACAGTATATAATATGATGGCAGTACACAAGAAGGTGGTAGTACAATATTCAATGACAGTATATAATATGATGGCAGTACACAAGAAGGTGGTAGTACAATATTCAATGACAGTATATCATATGATGGCAGTACACAAGAAGGTGGTAGTACAATATTCAATGACAGTATATAATATGATGGCAGTACACAAGAAGGTGGTAGTACAATATTCAATGACAGTATATCATATGATGGCAGTACACAAGAAGGTGGTAGTACAATATTCAATGACAGTATATAATATGATGGCAGTACACAAGAAGGTGGTAGTACAATATTCAACGACAGTATATAATATGATGGCAGTACACAAGAAGGTGGTAGTACAATATTCAATGACAGTATATCATATGATGGCAGTACACAAGAAGGTGGTAGTACAATATTCAATGACAGTATATCATATGATGGCAGTACACAAGAAGGTGGTAGTACAATATTCAATGACAGTATATAATATGATGGCAGTACACAAGAAGGTGGTAGTACAATATTCAATGACAGTATATCATATGATGGCAGTACACAAGAAGGTGGTAGTACAATATTCAATGACAGTATATAA